GAGGAGAGAAAGAAGGAAAGAAAGAATAAGAAGGGAGACTGGGAATAAGGCTCGGTTCCTTCCTTATAATTAATATAGTCATTTTATGGAATTCTTTTTGGTGGGGGATTTAAACTCAGGGCTTCATAGTTGTGAGACAAGTAATCTAATACTTGAGACATGCCCACAGTACCTTTTCCACTGCAATACAATTCAGGTAGGATCTTGGGTTTTTGCCCTGGTCAACTTGGAGAGGAATCTTCCTTCCTATAGCCTCCCAAGTAGCTGGGATTATAGGGGCACACTACTATGCCTAAATTATTGATCTGCACCCCCTGATTATCTGGGACTGCAAACATGAGCTATGGTGTCTGGTCTATTTTATGAGAATTCTCAAAGTGAAACAGGGTGGTACAGTGGCAAGATATATGCTTAAGCATCTCAGGTCTCAATTTTAGAGCTGACTCTCAAGGAATAACCATTATAGGGCTGAGAATGTGGCTTAGTGGTAAACTGCTTGCCTAGCATGCATGAAACCCTGGGTTTGATTCCGCAGTACCACATCAATAGAGCCAGCAGTGATGCTGTGGTTTAAGTGGTAGAGTGCTAGTCTTGAGCAAAAGAAGCTCAGGGACAGTGACCAGGCCTTGAATTCAAGCCCCAGGACTGGCCAAAAATAAATAAATAAATAAAAGGAATAACCATTATAAACAAAGAGCTCTATGATGTTCCTCTTCCACAGTTAATACAATAAGGAAGTAAATCACATACTTGTTAGTCACATTCACACTGTGTATAGAAAATCAGATTCCAGTGGGAATTCTATGACCAGATGACCTCTAAGGTAATATGGGTACTTAATGAGCATAATGGCTCAAGCCTTGGGAGATCAAGATCAGAGGATCATGGTTTGAAGCTAGCCCAGTTTGAGAGACTCTCTATCATTCAATGATTGGGCATGGTGACATCACATGGGCTAGGAGGGGAGTCACATGCCTGTGGTCCCCAGTGATATAGAGACAAACAAGCCCAAGATGGCTCAGGCATAAAGTGAGACCTACCTTGGAATTAACAAATTAACAAATGCAAACAGGGTTGGGAGTGTAGTGCAAGTAGTAGAGCACCTGCCCTGAATAGGGGCAAATGATTAATGAGGCCCTGAGTTTAAATACCAGTACCACACACAAAAAAATTACCTATGTTAAGTCTATTTTTTTGTTTTTAAAATCCATTGCTAATGATGTCTATTTTTTTTCCTGAGGTCAAACCTGTGGACAAGAATGCAATCCTGATTATAATGATGCTCTGGGAAAACATTTTATTTCTGTAGTATAAGGAATATATTATAGCCGGGCACTGGTGGCTCACACCTGTAATTCTAGCTACTCAGGGGGCTGAGATCTGAGGATTGCGGTTCAAAGCCAGCCCAGGCAGGAAACTGCATGAGATTCTCATCTCTAATAAACCACTCAGAAAACCAGAAGCGGTGCTGTGGCTCAAGTGATAGAGCGCCCACCTTGATCTGAAGAGATGAGGGATAATGCCCAGGCCCAGAGTTCAAGCCCCACAACCAACAACAACAACAAAATAAGGAGTATATTATAACACCGGGCACCATTGGCTCATGCCTGTAATCCTAGCTACTCAGGAAGCTGAGATCTGAGGATCACAGTTCAAAGCCAGCCTGGGCAGAAAAGTCTGTGAGACTCTTATCTCCAATTAACCAACAGAAAACCAGAAGTGGAGCTGTGGCTCAAGTGGTAGAGCACTTGCTTTGAGCTGAAGAGCTGAGGAACAGCACCCAGGCCCAGAGGTCAAGCCCCAGGACCAACAACAACAACAAAAAAGTATATTACAGTAAAAAGCAGAGTCTATCCACAGCACTATAGAGCACTGGTCCCAACAGAGATAATGTTTACTTCCTAGGGTTCTTCACTGACTTAGAATTACACAATAGGGCTGAGGCTATAGCTCCACCACTGAACCATATACCCTTCACATACACAGTCCCCGTGTTCAACCCCCAGCACTGAAAAAGCAAAACACACACAAATATACACACACATATCTACACAAATACCTTCATACAGAAAGAGTAACAGTTGAAATTCTCAAATTATACTTAAAAATACAATCATAGCACTGCAATTTCCTTAAGTTACTTCCTTTATTGTTCAAGTGTCAAGAAAAGAAGGTCTTGTACATAAACACAATGCTGTGTGTTAGAATTCAGAGCTCAGCCAAGAACATTTCCCTATGACTTCAAAGTGACATATTTATGCTATTTAGTGCAGTACTTCACACTTACTTTTGAAATCTGCTGCTGCAACTTCTAAGGAGCAGTGACCCCACCAGAAAAGTAGAAAGGGCTGTCTTTGCATGTTTAAAGTGCTCATTAGCTTTATATTGAAAAGCAATGGGTTTTATGCACAAATAATATTGAAAGGTGCTCCAAGTCACTACTTACAGACTCAAATATATCATTTTTCTAACTTGGCCCATGTAAACTGTATTTTTCCTTCAGTAATGAAGATTGCCTTCAATGGCCCTCAACTACATGCTTCAAATCAAGATAGCCTATTAGTATCAGCGACAGCAACAGCGAGAGCAGACAAACTGCCGCACATTTAAGTGGGTCACAGAAGACTGGAAAATCTCACAGCTTTGGATATGTCACATATCCAGGGATGAGCCTTCTCTTCACTCTGTATACATTGTAAACATTTTTAAGTGATCAAAACACTCTATTGGCTCTAAAGAGAGCATTTTACACCATATGAAAGGACTCAAATTCTCTTGCTATTTAACCAAACTCTCATTTCCACACAGAAGAGTTTGCAAATTTTCAATGTTTAAAACAATGTTTTTGATGATGGTGGGCACTGGTGGCTCAAGCCTGTAATCTCAAGAGGTTGAGTTCTGGAGAATCATGGTCTGGAATCAGCCCCAGCAGAAAAAGTCTTCAAGATTCCATCTCCAAAATAACCAGCACAAAGCAGGACTGATAGGATGGCTCAAGTGGTAGAAGGCCAGTTGAGCAAGCATGAGGCCCTGAATTCAAACTCCAGTACTGATAAAAACAAACAAAATCTGTTACTTCCATCAATAAAGAAAGGAAGAGTAAATGAAACTTTCAACTCTTAAACCCTGAGAAATAAAATTGGGAACAATTCTGAAACAAAGCATTGTTTTATTTTTTTTTAATTTTTATTTTTTTTGGTCGGTCGTGGGGCTTGAACTCTGGGCCTGGGCGCTGTCCCTCAGCTCTTCAGCTCAAGGCGAGACTCTACCACTTGAGCTACATTGCCACTTCCGGTTTTCTGGTGGTTTATTGGAGATAGGAGTCTCATGGTCTCTCCTGCCCGGGCTGGCTTTGAACCGCGATCCTCAGATCTCAGCCTCCTGAGTAGCTAGGATTACAGGCGTGAGCCACCAGCGCCCGGCCAAAGCATTGTTTTAAAGGTTGATATAAATATTTAAAATATTTCTCTTCAAAATAAACCACTCAGCTCTCTCACCGTGAGTCTCCTGACAAATCGCTGTCTACTCTCTGAACCTTAGGCTCCTGACAAATCGCTGTCTACTCTCTGAACCTTAGGCTCGTTTTCTTCTTTCTCTATCCTCCTCAAGTTTTCAAATGGCCCAAGAAAATAATTCCATTAGAAAAAAGATCATGAGGTCTGGGAAGATGGCTCAGTGGTAGTGCTTGCCTTGCATGCATGAGGCCCTGGGTTCGATTCCTCAGCACCACATAAGCAGAAAAAGCCGGAAGTGGCGCTGTGGCTCAAGTGGTCTTGAGCTGAAGAGCTGAGGGAAATGCCTAGGTCCAGAGTTCAGGCCCCATGACCAAGGGAAAAAAAAACAAAAGATCATGATATAAATACAATGTGAGGCTACATTTGATTTAAGGTAATAATTATAAAATGCCAAATAATTTAACTATGCAAATCCTTGATATAAAAAGAATCCATTCTGTCCTGAATGTAATAAACCAGTTCAGTGACAATGTGAAATAAAGGCAAAAATATTTATAAAATTCAAGTAAGAAACCAATTACCAAAAATCTTTTTACAAAGATAAATGTAATGTGGCTTGCCACTTTCACAAATTGCTAAGGAGGTTGACAATAAATGGTTTCAAAAATTACTTTAGAAAAGTAGAGCTGTGTAGCTCAAGTGGTAGAGCTCTAGCCTTGAGCAGAAAAGCCAAGAGCAGGAGGCCCTGAGTTCAAGCCCCAGCACTGGCATGCATGTGCATGCGCGTGCACGCACGCACACGCACACACACACACACACACACACACACACACGACTTTAGGGAAACTAGAGAGTGCATTACATATTGTTGTAATACATGATATATTTCATATATCCGTAACAGTAATACTGCAATAGGAAGTCATTTTAATCTGTGGATCTACTACTATTTGGCAAGTATATTTTCTTTTTTCAACTTCTTTGCTATAACTAAATTTGTACATGTTAGCCTTCAACAACTATAAGCTGGTATCAGAAGTCTCAAATAATAATACTATACCAACAACATAAAACAAAGTTCTTCTTAAATCTTTTGTCATTATAACAAGTATAGTTCAAAATACACAAAATTGCTACCCCAAAAAGTTTAAAATGTCTAACGCCTTATAAGGTGGGGGGAAAGGGAAACAAAAATTGAAACATTCATCCTTAGAGATAAATTTGAAGTCTTGCACTTCCGAAGCACATGGTATGTTCGATCCCAGGCCATCTTCTTTCTGACCAAGCTCAATCTTCTACCACTTGTCTGTGTGATACCAGGTTAATCTCCATTTTGTGGGTTTCAGTTTGAATTTTCTTGAATGTTTGCAAAACTGGTACTGGACTTGAGACGTTTGGCTATATAAGAAAAAAAAATGTTATGTTTTAACTTAGATTTAATTTTCTTGACATTTTTCATTATTTCTATGTAAGCTATCCCATTTTTGTATTGAATAGATTGAGAATTAGCTGGATAGATTTAATCACTTAAGATTTAAAATCTAAGCCTATTTTTTATGAACCTTAAAAAACATAATTAGAAACTGCATATGGCTTTGTCAGGAGCAGTAGCAACTACAACAGACCTCATTCCTACCTTTTTGAACATCGCAATCTTACGTATGTAAATGTTGCTAAAACTAGACTACTTACAAAAGTACTGTAAAGCATCATAATAAAAGAGAGACTAGACAACTTCAGACCAATGTCTGAAAGCAGAACTGCCAGCATATCTACAGAGGAACTGAAAGATGATTGGGAAAGAAATGAAGATTAAACGCAAGAAAATATTTGCAAAATAACTGCAAGTTTTGTGGCTTTCACAGAAGATGGATGCTTGTGACTTTTATTGTAAACACAAGCAAAATGCCCACCATGTGTTATAAATGTTTTCACAATGTTAACTAGATTTACAAGGCAAATGAGATTTAAAAATTTAAAGGTAAAATTGTCTCTCATCAGTCAGATTCACACAGCATTTTGCTGTTATTCTAAATAAGTGCCTTCAAGACTGAGCTATTAAATTTAAGATATCGATGGATAGACAGATAGACGGATGGACAGACAGACAGGCTGGCAAAGTTAAAAAAAGAACAAATAAACTATGACAGAATTTCCCCTTTACTAGCTAGCTTTTGTTGTTTTTTTTCCAGTGCTGGGGTTTGAACTCAGGGACTCATGCTCCCTCAGCTTTGAGGCACACGTCCAGCCCACTACTCAACATTTTAAGATGATGAGATACTACAAGTTCAGATCAATCTGATCTGTAGATCAAAACAAGCATTTTAAATAGGCATATTAGAGGGGAAAAGTTAAATAAAGAAGCACCAGAAAGAAGTCAAAGGGGACTGGGCACTGGGGGCTCATGCCTGTAATCCTAGCTACTCAGGAGGGTGAGATCTGAAGATCGAGATTCAAAGCCAGTCTGGGCAGGAAAGACCTTAAGACTCTTATCTCCAATAAACTATTCAGAAAACTGGAAGTGACACTGTGGCTCAAGTGGCAGAGTGCTAGCCTTAAGCTGAAGAGCTGATGGACAGTGCCCAGGCCCAGAGTTCAAGCCCCACAACCAACAACAACAACAAAATAAGTCGAAGGGGGAAAGAATTTATATATATTTTTAGAATAGGAATACTATTTGTGAGTAAAAAAAAAAAAGGATTAACCTTATTTTCCTCAAAACATTATTTCTTAAAAACTGAAAGCCTAAGGTGTGAGAACATTCTGCCATTATGACAGGGAATGAAAAGCTCACGTGGCCCAGAAACCCTTCTTCTCTAGCTCAATGCTCTGGCTCTCTCTGGCGGGAGAGAGGAAAGGCATGCCTCTACACAGAACTTGTGCTGCATGCCATGTAGCATCCTTGGATCTACGATTCTAACTTGTTCATCAACAAATGGCATCTTCCTGCCTACCACTCTGAGGAGGTTCTACCATTGCAGACTGCACTATTGACACCACTCTGCTCCGTTGCTGCCCCATCTGGGGGCAATCTAGCTTTCTCAAATAATCACCTGAGTTTTGGTTCTCTGAGTTTTGGTTATCTGCACTAAGAAAACTCCTATATCTAAGATGTAGAGAGACATTTCAAGCTAATATACTCATCATTTCTATGCACAATTTTTTTTTGGGGGGGTCCAGTCGTAGGGCCTGAACTCTGGGCCTGGGCGCTGTCCCTCAGCTCTTCAGCTCAAGGCTAGCGCTCTACCACTTGAGCCACAGCGCCACTTCCGGCTTTTTTCTTTTTGCTTATGTGGTGCTGAGGAATCGAACCCAGGGCCTCATGCATGCAAGGCAAGCGCTCTACCACTGAGCCACCTTCCCAGCCCTTTATATACTCATCATTTCTAAAATGTGCCTGAGGCCTTTGTTTTTGGTTTTAAGCAGAGAGAGCCTCACGCATGTTAAGCAAAAGTTATACAGTGAGCTATTCCCCCAGTCCCCTAAAACTTTTAAATACAGACTGTTATCTAAACAAACAGCTGTAAAAAGAAACTTACGTAGAATGAGTTTGCGTTTCTTTTGCTCTGAGTGTAGGAAGCTACTAAGGTAGAAGACAACAGGTAGAAAGAGGATGAACACAGAAACAGCGATGACGGGCACCGTATCACTGCAAGGGACCGAGCAGTTGAAAGTTCGGCTCCAGAGTTTGCGAGTAATATTCATCTGAAACAATGACCAATAACAACGTTATTCTACTTTATATTGAACTTGTCTGAAATTTTCTTAATATTTTGTTAATATCTAAGTAGGCCTTCAGAATTTAGACTAAATACACTGTCCTAAAAAAAAAAATCTATTGGTGGCCGGGCACCAGTGGCTTATGCCTGTAATCCTAGCTACGAAGGAGACTGAGATCTGAGGATAGTAGTTTGAAGCCAATCCAGGCAGGAAAGTCTGTGAGACTTTTATCCCTAATTAAACACACACACACACACACACACACACACACACACACAGTCACACAAAGCTAGAAGTGGAAGCTGTGGTTCAAATGGCAGAATATTAGCCTTGAACAAAAACACTAAAGGACAACACCCAGGCCCTCAGTTCAAATCCAGGACCACCCCCCAAAAAAAAACTATTGATGGTTGAGAATAATTTCTTCTGACTTGGAAATAGATTGTCTTGTGTACAAATTGTATCTACACAGAAATGCCATATTCGAAACTCATAATATTGACCAATGTATGCTAGAATGTTAACTACTCATATCTTTCAGAGAGCTATGCTAACAAGAATACATTGAGAGCCTGTTACAAGTCAAGCACTATTAAAGGAGAAGTGAACTACAAACAAATGTCCTCAGGTGTAGCCATTAGAAGCACTTTTTACCTTTTTGGTTTTTTAACCATTCTTGGGCCTTGAACTCAGGGCCTGGGCTCTGTCCCTGAGCCACTCTGTGCTCAAGGATAGTGCTCTACCATTTGAGCCACAGTGCCACTTCTGGCTTTTTCTGCTTATATGGTACTGAGGAATCAAACCCAGGGTTTCATGCATGCTAGGCAAGCACTCTACCACTAAGCTACATTCCCAGCCCTTTTTGCCTTCTTAAATATTATTTGTTCACTAGTTTCCTCTGAGCTGCTACAATAACTCACACTCATTATTCTCAACCAGTAGTAAGCTTGTCAATTTTCACCTCAAGTTCTCTACATTGAACCAGTTTCTGTTATCCTCTAATGCTTTCTCAGGTATCTCATTCGTGCCAACGCCATCTAGTGGTGCCCTGTGTAAAGGCAAGCTATACAATGGGGAAGAAAAAGCTTTTTCCTTGACCATTTGTGCAGGGCATCAGTGGACATACTGAATGATGAGCAAATAAAATAACCCTTGTGGACAGGCACTGGCAGCTCATGCCTGTAATCCTAGCTACTCAGAAGGCTAAGATCCGAGGATCATGTTTGAAAGGCAGCCCAGGCAGCAAAGTCAATGAGACTCTTATCTCCAATTAACCACCAGAAAACTAGAAGTAGAGCTATGGCTCTAAGTGATAGAGCATTAGCCTTGAGCAGAAAAACTTAGGGACAGTGCCCAGGCCCTGAATTCAAGTCCCATGATCGACAATAACATCATCAACATCATCATCATCATCATCATCCTTGTACTCACGTGGCTTATATTTCAGTCAGATGAGACAGACTAAAGACAAATGGTTTAGGGTCACAATAGGTGGATATAGATTAGGAATTGATTTTGAAAAATATTTTAGTAAAACATAGAAACTTATTTAATTAGCAACAAGTTCATAAATATAAGACGGAAACTTTTTATCTCCAATTAACGAGCAAAAAGCTGGAAGTGCAGATATGGCTCAAGTGGTAGAATACTGGCCTTGAGTAAAAAAGCTAAAGGGAGCTGGGAAGGTGGTTCAATGGTAGAGTGCTTGCCTTGCATGCATGAGGCTCTGGGTTTGATTCCTCAGCACCACATAAGCAAAAAAAAGCCGAAAGTGGCGCTGCGGCTCAAGTGGTAGAACAGTAGCTTTGAGCTGAAGAGGGATAGCGCCCAAGCCCAGAGTTCAGGCCCCATGACTGACACACAAACACACACACACTCACACACACACACACACACACACACACACACACACACACCACACACACACCACACACACACACAAAGCTAAGGGACAGGGCCTAGGCTCTGAGTTTCAATCCCAGTAATGCCAAATTGTCAACTCACTTATAAAGCCCTTTATTGATTTTTAGTTTAGTTTGACAGACCAGGATATTCTAAAACCTAAGTATTTTAGCTATTTCTGTTGACAAGAGCATATGCATACTCCAAGCTATCTCCAAGAGATAGTACCAGTGAAGACACTTTGATGAACCCTGCAAAGCATGCATCATACCATAGCAAAGTACTTACTGCATCTTCTACATCAATGCACAAATGTGTTCCAGGTTCAGCCTTCTTCTCAAGGTCATTCATTTTTTGCATTTTATTATACAAACTACTGAGTCTTTTGTATGCTGCATGACAGTTTTTGCAAACTTCAGAGTAATTTTTTGGTGAGCTCCCCTAAAATGAGAAGGGAAGATGTAATACCCATCACAAACATTACACACATCTTTGCAATATGAATTATTTGCCTTCTCCTTCTTGCCCAGAGGACAGTGACAATATGGTGCATAGCGTATTAAAAATGCTGGTTGTATGGCTGGGAATGTGGCTTAGTGCTTGCCTAACATGCATGAAGCCCTGGGTTCAGTTCATCAGTACCACATAAAAACAGAAAAAAACAGAAGTGGTGTTGTGGTTCAAGTGGTAGAGTGCTAGCCTTGAGTAAAAAGAAGTTCAGGGAGAGTTGCGTAGGCTCTGAGTTCAAGCCCCAGGACTGGCCAAAAAAAAAAAAAAAGCTGGTTGTACCCAGAAATAAGCCCACACAGTTATAGACACACACACACACACACACACACACACACACTCTTATTCTTTATTATTATTATTTGTCGGTCATGGGACTTGAATTCTGGGCCTGGGCACTGTCCCTCAGCTCTTCAGCTCAAGGCGAGCGCTCTACCATTTGAGCCACTGTGTCACTTTCGGCTTTTTCTGCTTATGCGGTGCTGAGGAATCAAACTCAGAGCCTCATGCATGCAAGGCAAGCACTCTACCACTGAGCCACCTTCCCAGCCCCAGCTCTCTTATTCTTGACAAAGATGCCAAAACTGAATTAGACAGGAAAATATCTTTAACAAATAGGCCTAGGAACACTGGATACCCTATATGTTAATCCACATGTGGGACATTGAAACTATATCCATTCCTTACCTTGTACAAAAACCAATTTAAAAATGGATCAAAAAAATAAAAATAAAATAAAATAAAAATGGATCAAAGAAGCTGGGAGCTGGTGGCTCACACTAGTAATCCTAGCTACTCAGGAAGCTGAGGTCTGAGGATCACAGTTTGAAGCCAGCCCAGGAAAGAAAGTCCAGAAGACTCTTATCTCCAACTATCCACTAAAAAACCTGGAAGTATAAGTGTGGCTCAATTGGTAGAGCTCCTGTCCTGAGCAGAAAAAGCTAAGGGATAATGCTCAGGCTCTGCGTTCAAGATCCAGTATCAGCACAAACAAAAAAAGAAAATATTTGAAAACATAAGGATAGGCCACAACTTTCTGAATTCAGCAATCCAATGATTCAGAAAATAAGAGCAAGAATTTGACTAATAAAATTATATCAAATTTAAAAGGTCTGCACAGCAAAGGAAACAATTACCAAAAGAAAAAGACAGACAATAAGCTGAGAGAAAATCTCTCCTGGCTATTCTTCCAACAGGGAATAAATATTCTTCTGATAGGGGATTAATATCCAGAATATATAAGGAACTTGGAGCACATACATTTGTATAAGACAGTAGTTGAAATACCTGAAGATTATGTTCAAAGCAGGTCAAGGTCTCGTTAAACAGAGCGAGGAAATGTTCTGTGCTGTTTGATAAATTTTCACTGTTGTTTGTTAAACAATCTGCCAAGAAAAGTAAGTTAATATATCACAAGCAATAATTACATGTTGTCACCTTCTGTTTTTGCTATGGTAATTCTTTATTCTAATAAACACATAGTACCCTGCATTAGAGAATTTTCCAAATACAGGAAGTTTACCTTTTCCAAAAGTTTTCTTTTTCTTTACTTTTTCTTCCTTCTTTTTTTGTCAATCATGGGGCTTGAACTCTGGGACTGGGTGCTGCCCCTGAGCTCTTCAGCTCAAGGCTAGTACTCTACCACTTAAAAGTTTTCTTTTAAATCATAACTATTTCCATGAAAATCTTAAAAAATAATATACAGAACCAAATAAAATTAATATTGACCTTTAATGGTGAAATGTCATAATCATGAAAAATAGCTATCAAATGCTGTTTCTCTCAGCTTGCTTCCTCAGTTGGTGGTCTTAACACTTGAGTCATGACTCCAGGCCAGCTTTTTGATGGTTATTCTGGAGATGGAATCTTGTGGACTTTTCTTCCCAGGATGGCCTTCAAATGGAGATCCTCTAGATCTCAGCAAGGACTTCAGGTGTGAGCCACCAGTGGCTGGCTTCATATGCTGTCTTAAAAATGCTATTTAGGCATAAAACTTTTTCGCTAAATTTTTATGCCCCTTTATTTTTGTGCCAAATTTAGTAGCTCTTTATCTCTTCCAACTTCACTAAGAAGTTCATTTATTGTACCAACTGACAGCCTTTTTAATTTGCTTTCTTTTCCATTTTTATTGTTATTATAAAGGTGATGTACAGAAGGGTTATAGTTACATAATTCAGGTAATGAGTACTTTTCTTTTGGACCATGTAACCCCTTTCCTTCCTGCTCCCAGTTTTTCCCTCCCACACACAAGTTATATAGTTCTTTTTCAACATAGTGTCTAGTGAGTATGGATGTGCTCTTTTTTTTTCCTTTTTTTTGGTTGGTAGTGGGGCTTGAACTCTTGGCCTGGGCACTGTCCCTCAGCTCTTCGGCTAAAGGCTAGCGCTCTACCTCTTGAGCCACAGCACCACGTCCAGTTATCTGTGGTTTACTGGGGACTTTGCTGCCTGAACTGGCTTTGAACCATGATCCTCAGATTATAGACGTGAGCCACTGCTGCCTGGCAAATGTGCTCTTTTTTTTTTGGGGGGGGTCATTCATGGGACCTGAACTCTGGGCCTGGGCACTGTCCCTCAGCTCTTCAGTTCAAAGCTAGTGCTCTACCACTTGAGCCACAGCGCCACTTCTGGCTTTTTTCTTTTTGCTTATGTGGTGCTGAGAAATCAAACCCAGGGCCTCATGCATGCAAGGCAAGCGCTCTACCACTGAGCCAACTTCCCAGTCCCAACGTGCTCTTTCTTTAAAAAAAAAAAATTAGCATAAATAAACTGTACAAAGGGCTTCATGGTAATATTTACAACATGGATATAATGTACTTTGATCAAATTCATCCCCTTAATACCCTTTCTAGTCCCTTCCTCTCATCTCTCTTAAAATGTTTTTGGCAGTACTGGTGACTGAACTCACGGTGTTGTACTTGGTAGTCAAGTGCTCCACCATTGAAGCCATGCTCCCACAAGTCCCTTTCACTATTTTTTTTAGGAGGAAAGGTATTGGGCACTGAACCCAGAGTTTTGTGCATGCTAGGCAAACATTCTACTGCTAAGCTACTAGATTCATTTGTTTTTTCTATCATGAGTTAAGGGTGCAGAGAGACCAGTAAGAATTTTGTCTAAAATACTGACAAAAAAGGCTTCAAGTTTGAAATTACACTGAATAGTTGAGGGTTGTTTTTTTGTTTTGTTGGTCATGGGGCTTCCACCCAGAGCTTGGGTGATCTCTCTGAGCTCTTTTGCTCAAGGCTAGCACTCTACCACTTTAAACAGCCACAGCTCCACTTCTGATTTTCTGGTGGTTGATTGGAGATAAGAGTCTCATGTACTTTCCTGCCCTGGGCTGGCTTTGATCCATGATCCTCAGGTGTGAGCTACCAGCACCCTGCCAGAATAGTTGTATCTATTTCTAAACATGTTACATAAATTGTATTTCTCTGCAACTTGCTTAGCATTAGCTCAGGCTCATTCATTCCTTTTGAGTTTGATGTCAGAATATAATACCACTTATGTGTCCAGTTTCCATCTGGTGAGGCTGCTCGTTGTTCCTTTGTCTTGTTCTCCCTGTGTGACAGCCTGCTATCAACCGTCTGGCTTCATGTCCCAGAACTGGAGCCAGCCATTTGCATCTCACTCTCTCAAACCCCACTCTCCGAAGTGGCACTGTGGCTGAAGTGGAAGAGTGTTCACCTTGAGCTGAAGAGCTGAAGGACAGCACCCAAGCCCAGAGTTCAAGCCCCATGACCAACAAAAACAAACAAACAAAAAAACAACCCCCCTCTTTTCCTACAAGATACCCACAAACATCCTACATTCTCTACTCCCAGTCTGCTTAAAGAACACTATTGAAGGGCTGGGAAGGTGGCTCAGTGGTAGAGCGTTTGCCTGGCATGCTGGAGGCCCTGGGTTCAATTCCTCAGCACCACATAAGCAAAAAGAAAAAAGCCGGAAGTGGTGCTGTGGCTCAAGTGGTAGAGCGCTAGCCTTGAG